ACACACACACACACACACACACACACACACACACACACACACCACACACACACACCACACATGAGGAATTTATAAACGAGTCATTAAATATGAGGAAGGCTTGCCGGGTTCCTGTAGCCCAAACCGCACTCTTTGAGGTCAAGTTTCAAGTTCTGCTGCCTGCTGGTGCCACAGGACACCAGCCTTAGAGAGTTCAAAGGACCCTCCCGGCCTCAAAGCTGTCAGGAACGAATTCAGGATGTGACCTTCCAGGACTGGTTTCCTGGGGGCCAACTACCCCACTCTGTTCTGCTCCCCAGCACTTAGTTTGGGCCTTGGCTTGGATTTGGCTCAAGACTTAATCACCAATGGACAAATCCAGTAGAATCAGAATGATGGTCCACAAATAGCCTCCAAGAGCACCCGGTACAGACACACCCAGAGATGGGCCGTTTGTACTCTTGAGAAAGTCTTGCACCCTTCCTGTGGCTCAGGGTACACAGCTGACCTCAGTGGCCATGCTGGACCCTCGCTGGGGACACAGTGCAGCCCGCCCACAGTCCCTGCCAAGCCCTGTGTGCTGTATAACATCCGAGGCTCCCACGCCAGGCCTGGCAGGTGGCTGTGTTCTCAGTCCCCTCAAAGCTCAAGAGCCTCTCTGGATAGCTCAGAGCCCACCCCCCCCCCCAGCAGGTGTTTCCTTCACAAGTAACGGTAGCTCTGTGTTTGAGCTGCAGAGCATGGTAGGATGACAGTGCCAGGGCCCATTGAGAGGAGTTATGGGGACAACCTGTTCCCATCCAGGCAAGTGTCCCATGTGGGAGAGATTGGCGATTAATAACCCGTGATTGCAGCAGACACTCGGCTCTGACCTGGGACAGCTGACGGGAGCCAGGATGGGGACAGATGGCTGCTGGGAGATCCACGCCCAGGATTCAGTAGACCATGGCTCACAGGGTCCTTCAGGGCAGGGGAGACCAATAGCTCTGAGGCCTGGGGTCCGTGGACAGGGCAGGAAGCTGGGGGTGGGGTTTCAGTCTGGGTGAAGTCACAGGCTGTGAAGCTGTTGGTCAACATCTTCAGGTGAGAAGCACTGCTGTGCCCAAGCTCCAGACTCGAACTCTGGGACCTCAGGCAAGGACTTAACCCTGCTTAGCAAGTCCCATGCATGCAGCAAGCCCTCCACACTCGGTCCTAGCTTCCAAACACACCCCCAGGATCTCAGAACCCTGCCCTGAGGGTGAGATCATACTGGCACTCACCTGGGCAACACCATCCACAGAGAAGAAGTGCCCAGGAAACAGTGGTGTTGGGAGTTGGGGCAAAATCCCTTCATAGTCTGTGGCTTCTTCCACGGTTTCTAGATACGGAACATGTGAGGAGTTCCTGTGCCTGTCACCCAACACTGGTGTAGAAGACACTGGGACATGCTGGTCCAGAAGATCAGGTTCAGGCTGAACCCTTGAGGTCCTGGTTTGGATTCACAGAGGAAGAGAACATTGTGAATGACGGTCCTCTGAGCCAGGCAGCCTACATCGGGAGTCAGCTGGGTCTATGTGCAAAAAGATCGTCCTGGCATACTCTACTATGTATGGGCGGTTGATATACTCACCCAACAGAAGCTCAGGGTAGGGGCTGAGTATCCAGTTGCATCTTACGGCCTGACAACACTGCCTTGGAGTGGCTCGGGGGAGGGGGGTGGAGTATATAGAGGCCAGGTAGACGAAAGCAGAGACTCCATCTACAAGGAAGCACTCATCCACGTTGGTTTTCTAGGTGTGGCCAGTTGGGGCAAGAACTCCAACTCCCCTGTAAGTAACCCCTCGTCTAAACTCCGTCTTAGTTAGGGTGACTACTGCTGTGATGACACACCATGACTAAAGCAACCTGGGGAGGAAAGGGTTAATCTGGCTTATGCTTCCATATCACTGCTCATCATAGAAGGAACTTGGCAGGAACTTAGGGCAGAAACCTGGAGGCAGGAGCTGATGCAGAGGCCGTGGAGGGGTGCTGCTCACTGGCTTGTTCCTCATGGCTTGCTCAGTCTGCTTCCTTATAGAACCCAGGACCTCCAGCCCAGGGGTGGCCCCACCCACAATGGCCCCACTCAATCACTAAGAAAATGCCCTACAGCCTTGCCGACAGCCTGATCTCATGGAGGTGTTTTCTCAGTTGGGGTTTCCTCTTCTCAGATGACTCCAGCTTGTCTCAAATTGACATAAAACCAGCAGGCACAATCAAACCTGTGTCAATTTGACACACAAGCTCGTCACTGT